AAGCGTGGCAACAGTAGTGAGGTTGGCCCAGGATCGGGCAGTGTTTCATTCTGCTGTGCATAAGGTCACTATGGGTCAGTACCGACTCAATGATACTTAATAACAACAATAACACGTAGCATGAAAGGATCTCTGGTAGTGTAGTGGTTGTGAGTTGTACTGCTATTCTCATGGTCAGCAGATCGAAACTACTGGAGGGTCCCTGGGAGAAAAATAAGACTTTCTGCTCCAATAAAGATTTACAGCCTCAGAAACCCTATACAGGGTCACTATGAGTCGGACCTGACATCACGGCACACCACCACCAAGTAGCAGGAACAGATATCTGTCATATACTCAACACAAGATCTCAGACAAGGGGCTTAGCAAGTAACAATAGATAAAATGGATCTTTCTTTCAAGATTACATTTTTGCACTGTCCTTCTTAATTTAATGATAATTGGATGTTCACCCAATATTCAGAAATACAGTGATGCCTACTATCTCTGAAACTGAAGTAAGGAAGGGGAACTGTGGGGTCCATATTATCTTAGGGCTATCGCCAGGAGTTTTAATGTGGTGCTGTAGGATAAGCACTGGACTGCTAACTGCAAGATCGGCCATAAAATTCCACCAGCCCCTCCTCAGACATCCTATACAGGATGTGAGTTAGAACTGACATGATGACAGCATTTAACAATCATACTACCAAAAAGAATCCAGCACCAGAGAAGAGAGGAAAAAGGTAGTCTTCATGTTTCCTGAATTTCAGATATGGGATGGACAGTATCTTAAGTCTTACCTGCAACATCTCTACTGATGATACCTGCAATCGATGTTCCAGATCTGCGATGAGTTCTTCTATCAACTGGCTCTTCTGGGCCAGTTCATTATCATCCTCTGTCAGATGACACATGACATCCTCCTCCTCTTTCTGCAGCTTTTGTAGCTCCTCTTCCTCCTCATGGTCCAGGATGCGTCTCACCTGATCAAATTTTTGGTGGATACTTTCTCTCTCAGTCTGCATCTGATTCTTGAGAGATGAGAGAGAGGGAGGCAAGACATCATTCTATCAGAGAGATTACTTTAGTAGAAAAGGGCTGATGAATATGACTTTTGTTTTTTAATAAATATGTCACATTTTCCTGTTTCCCTTGCCTCAGGTGCTTTCTCTAGACGCTGTGTGGATAGGAAGTGTAAATAGAAAAGCAATGGAGAAGTGACCTTTTCTATTGGGTTGTTGTTCTTCTAAACTATTTGTTGAGTTATCTGCTTCACGTTTTCCTTCCTCATATTCCAAAACAATAGCCAAAAGTCATTCTGAATGATGCCCACATTAAATAAAACATCAAATACCTGGTGAGGTTTAACACCACTGTTGAAGATATTCATGGCTCCCTGCATTACTCATTAAACCCTCACAAACTCCACCCCCACCCAATGTTGCACCCTGATGCTGGATCTATGGTCCTAGCCAAGACTTTCTTCGGAAGAATTATACTCTCAAATAGCACGCTAATATTGGACACAGAATTCACCAGGTTTTGTCACCATGGAATCCCTCTAACTCTGACTCCAAATGTCCGTGTTCATTGGTGACATGTTCCCTACCTCCAATTAGGGAAGAGATGAAGATGTGGGTTATTGTGTTTCTGGTGAGCATCTGGTGAGCTTGAACCCCTAACCTTGCAGTTTAAACTGACATTGCAGTCCAGCATATTAACCTATAATGCCACAACAGAACTCTACTCTACAGGGACATAAAGCTAGGCCTTTCCTACCACAGCAGCTAATAGATTCAAACTGCTGGTCTTTCAGTTGATGGTCAAGTGCTTCACCTTTGCATTGTTGTGGTTGCTCAGTTTCTTAGAGTTGTTTCCAACTCAAAGCGACCTGGTATAAGGTTTCTGAGGAGTGGCTGATGGGTATGAACCTCCAACCTTGTGGTTCAAACTGACCTTGAAGTCCACTGCATTAACCCATAGCATCACACCAGGACTCCATTGGAATATAGGGGCTCCTAGGGCTGCGAACCTTAAGGTCAGCAGTTCGAAACTACCAGCCGCTCTGCAGGAGAAAGATGAGGCTTTCTACTCCCATAAAGATTTACACCCTTGGAAACCCTGTACAGGGTCGCTATGGATCGGAACCGACTCGATGGCACTTAACAACAACAACATATGAAGAAGATGACTAATCATATGCTGTCCATCCAGACGCATTCAATATTGGAGAATAAAGAGGAAAAGGCTTTTGTGGGACTGGGACCCTGTCCAGAACACTCTCAGGAGAAACTTCTCCTACCTTCCAGAAAGCTCTCTCTTCTCTAATGTCATCTCCAAACTTCTCAGCTTCCTTTTGCTGCATCCTCAGTCTTTCAAGAGCCGCCTTGACATTTGCCTGTAAAAACATAATCCTGCCAGTCAACCTATGAGTTTTCTTAGTATTCAGATAGAAGATTATTCAGGGAAGATTATCTGGCTCTTCTCAGAAAAGACGAGACTTTGCAGAAACTCTGAGGCTTATAAGGAATACCTGAGAAAATTCATCAAAAGTGCCTTATATTCTCTCTAAAATCCAACCCACTGCCATCAAGTCTATTTCAATCCACAGCAACTATAAGACAGAGTAAGGAGCTCTGGTAGCACAGTGGTTATGAGTCAGACAGCTAACCTCACAGTCAGCAGTTCGAAACTACCAGTGGTTTTACGGGAGTAAGATGAAGTTTTATGCTCCTGTAAAGATTTACAGCCTCAAAATCCCTATGCTGGGTTGCTGAGTTGGAACTGACTCCATGGCACATAACCAGCACCACACCCACCCACGACAGTGTAGAACTGCTCATTGTGTTTCCACAGGGGAGCAGAAAGCCTCATCTTTCTCCTGTAGAGAAGGTGGTGGGTTTCAACTACCAATCTGTGGTTAGTATGCCAATATTTAATCCACTGCACTAATGTATCTCCTTCATTTCTCTAGTCCTAGGAAAAGAACCCAATTACACAGCAAGTCACATTCTTTCTCTGAATCCACCAAGCTCCCCAGCTGCCCTCCAAGGGGGACAATTAGAGTTTAATCTGTCAACCAAATCTTCACCTACCCAACAGAAAATACAAATTTATCTACTTCTGACCAAGAATCTATACCCTGGACTTCTCCCTTATGTAAATGACTGAAATACACAGAAGATGAGCATAAGGTATGGAAAGAAATGATAAATCTCAGGTCTATGATGACAAGGTCATTAGAGCTGGTGGAAAGCCATTTTCTGCCTTGTCTTCTCTGACCCTGGTATTTTACCTGGTAATGCTGGACAACCTCTTCAACGAGGAATGTTTGGTGTCCTTTGTGTTCCTGAGAGCGCTCACAAAGCCAGCAAATGACCATTTCATCCTTCTGACAAAAGAGCAGGAGTTTCTCTCCATGGCGCTCACAGACATCTGTCTTCTGTCCCTCCTCCACCTTGACCTTCTTGAGTCTCTCCACTACCTTGGCCAGATGCCAATTAGGTCGTAGGTTGTCAGAACGATATATGCTCCGGCACACAGGACAACTGTTCTCTCCTTCTGAACTGGTCATGGATGCCTTGTTGTTCATAATGATACACGCTTGACAGAAGCTGTGGCCACAATCTAGGCTCAGAGGATCTCTCATCAGCTCTAGGCAGAGGGGACAGGTCAGGTCTTCATGTAGGTTCACTAGGATCTCAGATGCCATTGCTACCAGCTTCTTTCTTCACTAACTGGAGGATCTTCTTGCTGTCAGACTCCTGGTCCAGATAGGACTGTTAAAATTAGAATAGGTTTATATAGAAATCAAGGATAAGTCAAGGCTGTCCTAGTAAAATACACAAAAATAAAGAGGAGGGAAACAAACAAAGGCATTCAGTCACCTGGGCTAAAAGGGTTTCAATAATCATTTCAAACACATTTCAAATAAAAATATCACGTGGCAAATTCCATCATTTATTCTCTTTATTCTTAGCAGACAAAAGAAAAACCTGAGGTCCTTCCTCCAATATCCTTTGTGACTCACCATCTATCTTCTTGGTATTTCATTTGGCAAATAAATTCTCAGTCAGAAAACCACCAAACCCAGTGATGTTTCATGGCATTAATGCTTCATCTTTAGTAATCATAGAGCATTTGGCCTAATACCAGCACAAGAGGGCTTCATAAAGTTTGTGGAAACATTCCATGATCTTTTCATTCCATTGCAATCTTAAGGTTCAAACCCACCTTGCAGTACAATGTGTATCTAGCAGCGCCACCTGGACAGGTTTGGGGGTGGTTATGTGCCGTGGAGTCGGTTCCAACTCATAGGGACCCTGGACAGGGTTTCCAAGGCTGTAAATCTTACAAGAGCAGAAAGCCTCATCTTTCTCCAGTGAAACAGCTGGTAGTTTTGAACTGCTGACCTTGAGGTTAGCAGCCCGATTCCTAACCACTATGCTACAGGTTTAGAGGTGGGAATTGATCTAAGAGATTGTGGACCACAGGGCACACAAAACCAAAAGAGAAGGAGTCGAAGGATTAGCTCCAAAAATTATGCTCCCTCTCAATGGCTCATAACATTTTGACCCTGACAAGATGCTTTTCACCCAGGAGAAACAGGGACTCCACCTCACAGATTTATGTGGGAGAAGAGGGGGAAAAGACGTTTTTCCTCTAAAAAAACAGAATTCTGGCTGCACACAGAAAGGAGAAAAATCAAAACTTTAAAATACAAAGGGCATGGGAGAAGATTCAGTCTGGAGACATCATGGCCCCTGCAGGAAATAACACAGGGCCCTTTACTTCTAACCTCCCTTCTTTCTGGTGCCCCTGCCACAGAATCAACCAGCCTGCCCGTTGGCACTAGGAACAGGAAGTCTGCAAAACCTCTTTTGTTCCCTCAGAACCACTTCAAGACCATACATAAAACTTACCAAACACATTCAACTTTTTCTTCCAGAAGTTTTACAAACTGCTTCTACAAACTGTCCTCCGTCCAGAAAGAGGAAGTCCAATTCTGCGTAGAATACAGAAAGCAGGCCATGGACAGGCGTGGTCAGGATTCACACAGCGTGAGAAATGAAACTGAGATTCCTATTGGCAGGAGAGAAAACAAGGAAGAGAACTTAGAACCAATAGGGCTCCCGAGGAGGAGGGGGAGGGTAATGTTTTCATCTGACCTGGTGTTTCAGGACAGCCAGGCATCACATATTTAATTTTGTTGCTGTTAAATGCAGTGGGTGCAAGCACATGGCAACGCTGCATAGGGTTTCCCAGGAGCAGTTTGTGTGTTTGAACTGCTGACCTTGTGGTGTTAAGTCCAGGGCTGATCCTAAAGCCCCATACCAGGGGTCCATATTCAGTCATAATCACCCCCAATTTTGTCTGTGCAAATTTGAACCTCTTCTCAATTTGACTTCTTTGCCCACCCCCACCCCTCAAAGGCTCCCTATCATCCAGCAGTTGTTTGGTGAACCTTTTCAAAGAACGCTATTCTATTTTTAATAAGTGAAAATAAAATTTATTTAATTAAAATTTTTTTCTTCTCATACCTTTTAGATATAAGCTTGGTCATTTTACACCATCATTCAAAAAGTGTAACTGAGACATTTTACATTTTATCCTTATTCTTACTGCATGTTCCTTCCCATGACACACCCAAGATGGAAGAGATTCCATGACAGATTGCTGCTGAAACCATGGGCCACCAATCTTCATACTTTGCCTGATATTAGAGAGAGACGGTACTGAAGAATCCATTTTTATACCAGTAAAGTAGATATAAGGAACTCTGATAGTATAGTGGTTACAAGTCAGGTCAGCATATTGAAGTTACCAGTTGTTCCATGGGAGAAAACTGAAACTTTGTGCTCACATAAAGATTTACAGCATTGAAACCCTATGTAGGGTCACGTCAGAACTGACTCCACAACACAGAACTACCATCACCAAAGTAGAGATATTTTGTTATTGTTACCCACAGAATAATAAACTCATCTGATTTAGAAGGCTGTGCCCTTTCATCTTCATCAGCAAATCTTTTAAGGCCTCTTCACTTTCAGCAAGCAAGGTTGTATCATCTGCATATTGCAGGTTGTTAAGGAGTCTTCCTCCATTTCTGATACCACTTTTCTTTCATAGAACCCAGCTTCTCAGATTATTTGCTCAGCATACAGGTTGAATTAGTATGTGAAAGAATACACTCCTGTTGCACACCTTTCTTAATTTTAAACCGTACAATGTTCCCATGTTCTATTAGAACAACTGCCTCTTGGTCCATGTACAGATTCCACATGAGTACAATTAAGTGTTGAGGAATATGCATACTTCACATTGTTATCCATAGCTTGTCATGATCCACACAATTGAAAGTCTTTGCGTAGTCAATGAAGCACAGGTAAACATCTTTCTGGTATTCTCTTTCAGCCAAGATCCATCAGATATCAGCAATGATATTCCTGGTTCCACATGCTCTTCTGAATCTGGCTTGACATTCTGGAAGTTCTCTGTCACTGTATTCTAGCAGCCACTTCTGTATTACTTCTAGTAAAACTTTACTCACATGAGATATCAAAGATATTGTCCAATGATTTCTGCATTCCGTTGGGTCACCTCTCTTTGGAATGGGCACAAACATGGATCTCTTCCAATCAGTTGGCTAGATAGTTGTCTTCCAAATTTCTTGGCACAGATGAATGAGTGCTTCCAGTGCCACCTCACTTTCTTGAAAGATTTCAATTTTTACTCCATCAATTCCTGAGGCCTTGTTCCTTGCCAATTCCTTCAATATACCTTGGACTTTATTCCTTCAGTTTCACTGGCTCTTGATCATATGCTACCTCTCGAAATGGTTGAACATCAACCATTTCCTTTTGATACAATGACTCTATATATTTCTTCTATCTTCATTGGATACTTTCTGCTTCATTTAATAATTTGCCCAGAAAATCCTTCAATAACAAAAGTCGAGCCTTGAATTTTTTCTTCACTTCCCCCAGCTTAAGAAATGCTGAGCATGTTCTTCCTTTTTGGTTTTCTGACTCCAGATCTTCGCACAGTTCTTTCCCAGTCGCAATCTGAGGGGCTCATTTTCCGGTACTATATCTGACAATGTTTCTCTGCTATTGATAAGGTTTTCAGCGGAAGTAGTTCATCACTCCTTTTTCCTAGTCTGTCTTCATCTGGAAGTTCATCTGAAACCTGTCCAACAATGGGTGACCCTGCTGGTATTTAAAATACTGGTGGCATAGCTTCCAGAATCACAGCAACTCACAAGCCACCACAGTACGACAAACTGATAGTCAAGCGGAGGCCGAAACGCTATACAGGGTCATTATGTGTCAGAATGGATTCCAAGGCACTTACAAGAACAATATTGTCTTGTTCATTTTTTTCTTTTGGGGGCTGTGTTATGCTAGTTGATCTTGTTGTTCTTAGTGCCATAAAGTTGGTTCTGACGTAAAGCAACACTCTATAGGGTTTCCAAGACGTTACTGGTGTGTTTGAGCCACCAAGCTTGGGTTTTGCAGTCTAGTGCTTATCCTACAGAGCCATACCCATAGTCCAGAATAGATAAATACACATGTAGAAATAATCTTTCCCAAACCTATATAAATATATATATGGAGTAGTCCTGGTGTGCTGGTGTGGCACTGTGGGTTAATTGGCCAGACTGCAAAGCCGTTTCAACTCCAAGGTCGGTGGTTCAAGCTCAAGTTCGGTGGTTCAAGCCGTTCCTTTGAAACCTTATACAGGGTTGCTATGGGTTGGAACTGACTCAATGGTACTTAACAACAACAAATATATGTATCCATGGGTATAGTCCCATTCTCCTTCACACCCCTGTTAAGCTTGTGGGTCTATCTATGTATATAGTCATAGATTCTTGTTATTGTCATTGTTAACTGCTGTCAAGTTGGTTCTGACTCATAGAAACCCTTTATAGAATTTCTGAGGAGTTGCTGGTGGGTTCAAACCCTTAACCTTGAGCTTAACAGTCCAGTATTTATCCTACAATGAATGCCACACCAGGATTCTATTGTTATTGTAAAATTGTGTTTAAAATATTTAACTGAGTTACCTTTAACTCTTGTATTTCTCCCAGTGTCTTCCTTTGCCATCATCATTTTTGGCTAATGTAATCTTTATGGGAGCAAACCACCAGATCTTTTCTTTTGCAAAGTGGGTTCCAATCACTCACCTCTTAGTACAGAGTCAAGCACTTTAACAATTGAGCCACCAGGGCTCATCTTATTTTGTTCTCTTTGTGAAAGCTCATAGTTTTCTATCACTTTTTTGTCACATAATATTGTTATTGAATATCCCCTAACCTGATCTGAACTTTACCCCTTGAGTGTAGTTTCATGAGGAAAAGAAGGAATTGGGTATATTTAGTTCCTTATTGTCTCAGATTGACTACAAGGTGTTTTATTTGGGAGTGATACTTAAATAGATACCATTGTAAATGAATAGTTATGATCATCATGGAGTCCTGGTATGGTGCTCTAGGATAAGCACTAGACTGCACAGTCAGCTTTGAAAGATTGGTGGTTCAAACCCACCATCTGTCCCTCAGAAGCCCTATACAAGATCACTCTGAGTCAGAACAGGTTATATGGCACTTAACAACAACAGCAGGGGCAGGCTGTTGATTCCCCAGGTAGCAGAAGCTGTGAATAAGGTCTGGCAAGAGACCACAAGTCCCAAGAAGTAGAGGTAAGGCTG